ACGATTAACTCAGTCAATTATTCCCTAATTCCAGGGTTTGATTTATAGTCTATGTGATATACTATTTATTCAGGGAAATGGTATCCAAAGAACATATAAATGGTAAGGAGATAATAACACTTATCTTCCTTTTCAAGCAGGTCATTGCCTTGGAATGGGTTGCTTTGTAGTTCGAGAAGGATACTTCTCGAATTGTCTTATCATAAGACTTGCAAAACCAATTAGTACAACTGCGCCACGGTCGGGCAGGTTACTCCTTTCAAATTAGTCGAGAGGATTGTCTCCACCCTTGTCATAGGGCTAACCTATGTGATCATGACTTTATGTGCCCTCGGTCCCTCGAAAAATCGAACTATACTTGCATAGCTGTTCACAAAAAGTTAGTTGTTCTCATAACAAGGTGGTTGTACCCTTGGTGAGCATACAAGATTTGTGTATGACTTAAAATGAAATAAGTAAGCAGGCAAGGGTCACATTCTGATACAAGAATAGGGCAAGTAATACCCCAAAATAGGTGAGCTGTGCATGCAATTCAATGTGTAATGCTATTGAAATAATTTTCAAGAACTTTCATGTTTGTTGTGATGACAAAGAGGTATTGACTAATATAAGTATGTAAGAAAACATTATTAGGTAACATACAATCGTCATGCAACTATTATGTTTCTATATCAACAATATGCCCAGTGAGGCATAGTATGATATTTATGCATAATGATGCTTGAGACATAGGTTCGTCATCCTCAAACTGAAAAAGTTCGGACGGTAATGATGTATGACATGAATTTATTTTTAATAGAAGGCAACGATAACTTATCTGTTATTAAAGCCTCTGCCTTGTGCAGATATGTAGTAATGAGTGTTTCAGCTTGTGCTGCCGGAAGCAAAAGAGTGGCCTCGTGCTCACGTCTCGAGAAAGTTGTGCGCATCTCCGAGGAGATGTGACCTTTAAGATATCAAGTCGCCACTTGCTGTAAAGTTAGGACTTGTATGAAAAACAATGAAACCATTAGAGGCAGGGATGATAAGTAATATCCAAAGGAATTGAAGAATAAACTCTGCTTAGTTAAAGAGAATTTTGCCCAAGTAAGTCATTTGATGGTCCAGGGACTATGTTGCGCAATTAGAAGATTTAGCATCAGAGTACAAATAATAAAATCACCACCGTTTTACAATTGCCAAAAAATTTGAAACCCTTGTCGAGCGGCTGCGGTTGCTTACATTTCTGCCGTAATTGAAGGCTTCGTAGTCCTTGCTGGCTGATTTGCTTCTCGAGCTTGTTTGGTTGGAGGAGACTGTATAGAGTCTTGAACCAAAGTTGACGGACAGTAATTTCCTGAGTCAACTATAAACTCAAAAGATATATCGTAAAAAATCGTGGATGATAAGAATATAATAGTGATGCTCAAATATAGAATTAAGAAACCCTTGTCAATAGGTGCAACATGTAAATGAAACCCTCGGGTAACCACGATCCATGGCATAGAATGAAAGGAATCCACAAGAGGCAATAGGATAATGGCATTGATTCATTTGACATAGCTATCATGTAACTAAATCAAAGTGCTTGCATAACCTATTACTGTATTACCAAGATTTATGGCATTAAACTTTCAAAAGTAATTATATGTAGTAATGATATGAGGCTCATGAATAATATACGATCAATATTAATCAAATATATAGAACCTGGATGCTTTGATCTTTCAAAGCTTATGCACTTGACCTCAGTTGATCGTTCTCTCCTTCAACAGATTGTGACTTTGAGAGATTTTTCTGTAAAATCATAATATTGAGGGTGTGAAAGTATAAATACTAAAATCCTTAAGGACTAATCTGCAATTTCACAAAACTGAATTTTTGTTGCGAATTTTGACTTGGTTGCAAATTTTTGTTGCGAATTTTTGATTTGGTTGCGAATCTTTGTTTCATTGTTACCATGATTTCTTTTGAGTGCTAGAGATCCTGAGGCACATCTAAAATAAGAATTTGTTGAAGTTTAGAATTTCTGGTTCTTTAATGCTTGAGGGCAAGCATATTTTAAGTGTGGTGGAATTTGATAGAGTCCATAATTGATGTTTTAAACGTATTTATTTTATGAGTTTGTGGATTTGGATAGTTTTAATTCATTTGTTTTGACAATGTTTTGTATTAGGAGCTGGGAATTAGAGTTTACAGCTTTTCGGAGCTAATTGATGCAAAAAGAGACTTTGAAAATCATCTAACTTCATCAAAGATTGAAGTTCACCCAATTATGGACTCAATTGCAAAACATAGAAATTTCTGGAGGTAAAAGTTGATAATAAAGAAATCTTGTACTGAAATCCACTATTGAAGAAAGTTTGGGCCAAATTGGAAGAAACTTAGAAGTGGAAGGACCAATATTGAAATTTGTTGTTTAATTTTTGGCAGCATACGGCTGACCTAATTACTAGTTATAAAGGAAGTATGTTTTCTTGTTTTTGGCCATCGTTTTTTTTTACTTCATTCGAACGCACAGCCGAACCTTCTTTGTACGTACGCAACGGGCCAAGCTTTGGAGCTGGCCGGATCGTTTTCTCTGAGTTTTAATTCTTCTAGATTTGGTAATATTTTTCTATGAATAATTTAGCTGTCATGTCCATGAATATGAGTGGCTAAACCCTTTATTTCTGATTCAAGGGGTTTAATTCAATTATTTCATATGTGAGGTTTTGGTATCAATATAATCTTGTCTATGGTTTGAATTGTTTGTTTATTCTTGTTTTAATTTATGAAAGTGAGTATAAATTGAATTGACAACTTGATTTTATTTACTTTTTAGTGCTGTCCTAATAGTTGTATGTTACGTAATTGACACGAACCTCTGGAGTTTAGTAGCAACTAGGCATTACTTGTGCATTTGTGAGATAGAGGGTGTTCTTGAATGCTTAGTAGAAGAATACGCAAATCATAATTTAATTTATTGGTGCCTATGATCTATGAAATAGTTAGATGATCCGTTCCTTGAGTCAGAATTCTTGTGATATTGAATTCTCTCCTTGTTTATTTATTTTTGGTTTTCAAAAGAACTTTTAAATTTTCTTAATCTCTGTAGTTAGTAAACCAACAAACAAAATCTTTTTGGATATTGTCAAACTAAGAACTAAGAACCTAGCTCATTTGGGATATCGACCTAGTACTGCTACAACTACAAATTTTGTAGTTCGGTAGGATTATCGGATTAATTTTGAGTGCCTCGACAAGGTCGCCAGTGTCCAAATCAATTTTCTAGTTTTTTGGAGAAAAAATAGTACCCTTCTATGATCAAAACCTTGTTGGCCGAATACCACTTTGAGAAGAAAATTGATAAAGTCACGAACTGAGTATCAATTAATCTCCAAATGCCTTGCTATTGTGAAACGCCACGTGCATACCTCTTCTTGATAAAGAATAACACTAAAGATTAATTCCTTTGCATAAATTTGGCCACCACATGAAGTTTCCAAGTTTGAATCGAACTCCAATACCAAAAATATGTATTTTTTTGAGTCAAACACCATCCCCATTACAATACAAGTTTTTGTGGCTTGCATTATTTTATTTATTTTTTTACCCGGTCTCTTGTGATTTGAGATTTAGGTGTTGGCATGGAAGACTTCACAGTCACATTGCTTAAGAATAGAATTTGTTTTTGGTGATCTTACTCCTACACGAGAGGAATAAGAAAATGGTAGCATCAAATATAGCAAGGAACTCAAGGGAGCTTGGACCGACTTTTGAGGAAAATTTACTTATTAGTAACTGAAAAAAAAAATGAAGAACAAAATATGTTTAGGGTTTAAATTGTGGCCAAAAATAGTTTTCTCGCGCTTCAGAAACGCGAAAAAATCAAAATCTGCGTTTCGAAAACGCTAAAAACACAAAATCGCATTTTAAAAACGCGAATATATACTTTTCGCGTTTCAGAAACGCGAAAAAGAAGGAGAAAAAATTAATTTAACATAATCCTAATTAATTAACTTGAATCAATAAGATTTCGCGTTTTGAAAACGCGAAATCAATTAAAAAAACATTTTATTTAATAAAAAAAGAAAATAGGCATAAAAATATGATTAATTTGACTAGTTTAAAACGTTATAGGGAAATTGACTTCAAAAAATTATTAAATTTGAATAATGGTAACAGAAAATTTTAAAATTATAACTGTTAATCATTATATTTTGAATAGAGCTATAAAGAGGAAAATTATATTGATAATTTTAATAATACGAAAATTAAATTTTGAATAAGAATATAATATTATAATTGATACTCATTAAATAAAATAGAGCTATACTAAATATAAATTATTAAAAGTATGATATAGTTATTATAATGTATTAATTTTTTAGAACATTATATAAAAAAATTAATAATGATTATATTAAAAATTTATATTAAAAATGTAATCATTATTTTAAAAAATAATTTTATATGAAAAATTTTCAATAATGATAATGACGTAATTTTATGGATTTAATGAGATGTAATTTAATTTACAAATTAATTTTATTAATTATGATGGTTTTAATATAAGAAAAAAGCTTAAAATAAGAATAAATTTTATTAAATATTTATTTTAATTTACCAACACTTAAGATGAAGCAACTATTAATTATGAAAAAAAATATAAGAAAGTTTAAATATGTGTTTCGATTTGATCGGCGAAGATGTGTTTTATAAATATTAATTATTGTATTTACGATGCAGGTGAAATCAAACTATTAAGAATATTAATACAAGTCATAACAAAATACTACAAGTCATAACAAAAGGTAAAAAAAAATAAAACAAGTCATAACAAAAGGAAAAAAAAGAAATGAACAAAAGGGAAAAAAATACAAGTCTAATAATACTACATAAGAAGTCTAGTACCCTACTTCTTCTTGGGCTTTTAGCCCGAAAAGGCTATAAGTCAATCTATCGGGCTCCTTCGTCACTCTCGGCCTTTACTCACGGCCAACGGTGGAGTCCCTAGAGTCGACTCGATCCACCGCTCCTCATGGCGCCGATAACCCGACCCTCAAACGATCATCACAGTGCCGCATCCTCGGCCTCATCCTCATCCTCATCCTCGGTCTCATCCTCGGCCTCATCCTCACCCCGACTCTCACGCTCAACCTCGGTGGGTTATCGGCTGATGCGACCCGCAACACCCTCGAACATACTCGAAAGAAAGTTACTCGTGTAATGTATCGGTGGCCATCTAGCGAACTCTGCTGAAACCCGGAAAAGTCAATAAAAGAATCTCCAAACGACGAGAAGTCGAGGGAGGAAAAGCGAGTGAAGGAAAAATTGACTGCTTGGTCTTTGGGAGACATAATCGGACGGTAAAACGCTGATGGGTCGGCGAAGAATGATGTGGAGACGATGGGATGAATGATGTGGAGGCCGATGGGCTGAATGCTGTCGAGAATGGAGTGGAGGCGATGCGGAGACCGATGGGATGAACCGCCGGTGAAGGGAATATGAGGCTGCTCATCTTTGGGAGGACTGATGTGGCTGAGATGTTGTGATTGTCTCTTGCCCCCACGCCCACGCCGAGACTGCGCGAACGCCTCGGAGGTGCAGGTGGTGGATGTTCTTGGGTCGGGTCTACAGTGCAAGTTCTTGACTCAAAATGTCATGAACCTCAACATGCCTATCGAGATCGTGACGTACAACATTTGTTGCATTGACGGACAACGCCCGCTCGGCAACTGGGCAATCTCGCCTAAGCGATCATAACCAAAGGAGTCCGCGTCGAAAGTACGCTGGCCTATAATACTCAGACTACGAACGTCCTCCATCAATGTGGCCTGAAATTTTTATTAGAAAGAATCATAAATCGACAACAGTGTTAATAAAAAGAACCAAATGGACTATAGGCGAAATACTCACCATGAGGCGCAAGGTCTCTGCAGAACCGTGAAAACCCCTCGCATTTTCAGAGTCCGTCGGATCCGTAACATACTTCACAGTAACCTGATGGTACCACAAGAGATACTCCGGATCTGCGGAAGGCTCGCCAACATAAAGATCATCAGTCCCCACAACTTGGCCGTGCGATCATTCCAAACCGGATCCTCCAAACGGCTTCCTCTTGAGCAGGCTAGTAATTTCCGCCGCAGCGAGAAGTAATGCGTCGCCGGGTATCCGCTGGTGATAACCAAATTGGCGAAATACCCTACTGGGGTTGTGTGGCGCAACGACATCACCGCAGATGAGCCATGTCCGAGATCGCCATATGCCTGTCCCACAAGACAAACCACGGCAATACGACCCAAAAGAGTCGTGTACGGCATCCGAGACAACCGCAATGGTAATTAAGTAAGAGACGTGTAATTAAAAGTTCGACACCGTTAAAAAAAATGAATAAAACATAAGTTATACTAATTGAATAGAATACTAACATCAGACTCTCCGAGAACTGCAAGCTGATCCCGGTACGCGGCCAAATTGAACCGCGTGATACCTTGAACTTTTTTCTCGCGGGACCACCTGCACGGAGAAAGTAACATTAAATTGAGACATGACAGTACAAATCAAAATGTCAAAATTTACAAAGGTTTGATGTATAAGATTACCTCGTGCCCAATGGACAATCAGATAGATCGAGATCCCCACCCAGTATCTTGGGCTGAACCGTCAAAATCCGCTCCCGGCCCGAGCTAATTCGAATGAAGAAATCATTAGCTAAAATCACCAATAATAATGGGAGAATATAAAATGAAACTAGAGAGAAATGAAAAGATAAAATACCTGAAGAAGAATCACACAGCCGGTAATAGCCTTGGCAGAAGCGGCCAGAGATGACTGGACATCTGCGATACAAGTAACATAGTGCCGCACTACCCCAACTGTACTCCGAGCAAATCTCGGGAGTATGAAGAAAATGCACAAGATCGAGAGGAAAACTGTTTCTCGTAGTGTTTGAGAACAGTAATCCGCCAACGAGCTATCCAACAAAACAACGGGCTCGCTGTAGGTGTGCATCGTCGGGGACAGTCCGTCAAAGGATTATTCTCTATGTGAGTCTTTATTTCAGTGATGGAAACACTCATCAATCTAGACTCCTCTGTCTGGAACCTAAATCCAAACATCCTCTCCAAATAGGCTGCCCAACCACCATCAGGCGTGGTGTGATGTCCTGTAACTGGACGTCCATCAACCCGAAGGCCCAAAAGAACCTCGACGTCTGGAGTGTGATAGTAGCCTCCCAAAGGTAAATGAAATGTATGGGTCTCTGGGCGCCATCGCTCCACAAGAGGCATAAGCGGGGCATGGTCACATCGATGGACCCAACTCTAGAGAACGGTCCAAAACCAAATTTCTCAATATATTCCTTTGTCAACCTCGGTGCATCTTTTATTAATTTCCACGCGGCGCTATCTACGCGCACAGGCTCAAAATCCCTATATCATACTGTGCACCATGGAATATATTGTGTGACCTATGGGCGTTTTGGAGAAACAACAAACTACTGTCTCTGGGTCCCTGCCGTAGCTTCTTTGAGGTAGATTGGGAGGAAGAAGATGATCCAATGTCCATGGCTAGTATAATTTACAAATAGTTTTAGTAAGTAAGATTAATATTATTATTCGTTTTTATTCTAATCTAATTATTCTTTTATTAAATATTTTAACCCTACATTTTAGTAAATACAGATTAATATTATTATTCTAATCTAATTATCCTATACATTAAAAATTCCAAACCTACATTTTTAGTAAATACGGATTAATATTATTATTCTAATCTAATTATCCTATACATTAAAAATTCCAAACCTACATTTTTAGTAAATACGGATTAATATTATTATTCTAATCTAATTATTCTTTTATTAAATATTTTAACCCTACATTTTAGTAAATACAGATTAATATTATTATTCTAATCTAATTATCCTATACATTAAAAATTCCAAACCTACATTTTAGTAAATACGGATTAATATTATTATTCTAATCTAATTATTCTTTTATTAAATATTTTAACCCTACATTTTAGTAAATACAGATTAATATTATTATTCTAATTTAATTATCCTATACATTAAAAATTCCAAACCTACATTTTATTATCCAAAACCCATATTCTAAACCCAACCCAATCCCTAACCCAAAACCCACATTCTAAACCCAACCCAAAATTCATATTTTAAACCCAACCCAATCCCCAACCCAAAACCCACATTCTAAACCCAACCCAATCCCCCAAACCCTAAACCCCCTAAGCCCAACACCCCACAAACCCTAAGCCCAACCATAAACCCTAAACCTACCCCCCTCTCTACACCCCTGCATTGCATTCCCCGCCGCCCCGCCCCCCTCCCCCTCATTCCGCCGCCGCCCCCTCCCCTTCATTCCCCGCCGCCCCCACCCTCCCCTGCATTCCCCGCCCCCACCCTCTCCTTCATTCCGCCGCGCCCCCACCCTCCCCTTCATTCCGCCGCCGCCCCCACCCTCCCTTCATTCCGCGCGCCCCCACCCTCCCCTTCATTCCGCCACCGCCCTCCCATTCATTCCCGAATTTTTCACCCAACCCAAACCCGAATTTTTTAAAAAATTCCACAATTACAACACCTATAATACTAGATCTATTAACGGTTCATTAAATCGGGAAATAAAATTACAAATAAACGAACACAAAATTTATAGGAATCAAAAATTAAAACATGAATTAAAAAAAAACGATTAAATCAGAGCAAAAAACACAACTTACCTCGATATATAGCCTACAAAATGCAAAAAATTGATGCCAAAACAATTCCGGCAACTCTCCCGGAAAAACCGCCGGTTTCAATGGATTACGCCGAATATTTGGTTCTGTTTGAGAAATATCAACCCGAAACGCGAAAATTTAATTTAAGCACCCATTTTCGCGTTTCTAAAACGCGAAACAACCAATCTTTAAACAAAATCGCGTTTCAGAAACGCGAAAATAATGCCCTCCCCATTTTCGCGTTTCAGAAACGCGAGAAAAATACTCCCCCTTTTTTCGCGTTTCACAAACGCGAGAATTATACTCCCCCAATTTAAAATTTTAGTCGTTTATTCTTTAAGCCGGATATATGGTTATATTAATTTCGGTGATGACAAATAACTAATTTTCTTACCTTTAGTGTTTATCAAATAACTAGTGCTTTATTCGACATGTATATATCCTATAGTAATAATTAATAATATTACTAAAATGAACTGCGACGTTTCGGTTTTACAAAAACATTACTAATATAAATTACAGAAACATCCAAACCAACACACTAAAACAAATACAAACGCAAACTGAATCATCCTCTGAGGTTTACTACATGAATGTTCAAAACAACACAAAAATACGAACACTAACAGAATAATCACTACGCTTCATCATCATCATCATCAGAATTGATATTAGGCACACCATGAATTCCATATGGATCATACAGTTTATCAATACCGGTCCTGTCAGCAGGTGGATGAGAAAAAGGGCATTCGACAGCATCATGATCTAAACTTCCACATCGTGCGCAAACTCTCGCATATGGGCAAGCCCTGGCATTATGGCCTTGTAGCTTACATAAACTGCAAGTTTGGAGTCTTCCTGGCCAGATTTGCTTGTATAATCCATCACACCTTTTTTCCGATTCACACGCTTCCGACCTCGGCCAGCATGGTGGACAAGTTTAGTGTCATCTGGCCTAATCTGCCACGTTGCCTTTGGCCATGGTTCCATGATTGGGTTGAATTCTCCAGAAAACTGTTGGTACCATTGATGCGTAGTGTAACATGGATCAAAAAGTGGGAAGGGATCGTCACCTAGCTCACGGGCAACTCGAAGTGCATGGGAACAAGGAAATCTGAAAGTCTGCCACCTTCCACAAGTGCACTCTCGATTTGCATACAGCACAACTTGCTTCTCGTCAGCCTTCCATGGTTGATTATCAGGTGCTATTGTAACCACTTCGTACTTCTGGTTTCTCTTGCTAAACCGGTTGACCTTTTGCCTCAATGATTTCTTCCGGGCCTCTTCATACAGTTTCATTGGAGTAGGAGGTAGAACAGTCTGACATTTTTGGATCATATCAATGTTTGCACAAAGCAGTTGTTGCTTTTACGAAAGGATGCTAGGATCAATGCTGTGATCGGGAAGAATCTAGCACCTTTCAGCACATTATTGAAACTCTCTGAGATGTTAGTGCTCATTTCTCCCCAACGATGCCCTCCATCGTGTAAACAGGTCCATTTCTCAACACCCAGCTTCTGAACCCAACGAGCAGCAGGCTCATTTTTTTCTTCTAATTTTTGCCACTCTGCCAAGAACCTTGTCTTTTGCGTCGCTGAACCAATCATTTGACAGTCGCCTCGCAGTTTCTCCTTTCGAAAATGCCCAACCAAGTTTGCTTTAACATGCTCTAGACAATAACGGTGGACGCCCATCTCTGGGAATTTTTGCAACATGATGTCCATGGCAGTAAGGATACCCTGATTTCGATCAGAGATAATACAGGTCTTCCTATCCTGTAGAACAAACTTTTTCAAATACTTCAAAAACCATTTCCAGCTGTGTATAGTCTCTTCGTCCACAAGAGCAAATGCGATGGGAACAATCGTGCCATTTGCGCACTTTACGCATGCCACAATTAGTTTTCCTTTGTAGGATCCTCGCAGGTGAGTGGCATCGATGGTTATTACTGGCCAACAAGCATGAAATAACTGTATAGATGGCCCAAATGCCCAGAAAACATACCTACATACAAACCTTTGTGAGCTTCCTGAATTTTCCTTAAACTTGAATTGCACACAAGTGTCCGGGTTTGACATGA